CTGGATTTTTACTCCTGCCTCTATAGAATGTAAATCTTTTGATTCTGAGATTGGAATGATTACATGTTGCTGGAAAGGCTCAGGGCTGCCTTCTGTATTTTTAACAAATGGAGCGCAGGCATGTAGCAGCTGAAAGTTCTATCTTTTCGCACAGTGTGCAAGACAGTGGCAATAAATTTTCGAAAGAGTTGTTTACTGAAGTACTCCAGCTAATAAAAAAGGAGTTAAGCTGTTACTGAGAAATCTTTCTCCTTCCAACTTGCTGATGTGTCATTCAGCTTTCAAGGTCGTAGAGAGGAAGGGATACCCAGATCTCCTTCCTGAGCCTGGGTGTGAAGCAAATGGCCTTTCTTGGTCTCTCAAAGGATATTACAAAGCAAGAATTCCTTCACCTGGGCACAGGCTGTCAGTTACACCCCAGGTGTGTGCAAGAAAGCAGATGATTTATGTCTGTCTAGCCAACATTCCCATGCACCATTGATTTCACTTCTGTTCCTGGATGGTAAATCTTGAAACAGTGTTTTTGCCAGCCAAATACGCTTTTCTCTGTTTTCTGGGTTTGTTTTTGTACGTCGAACCTAATCACTCTACTCAATGCACAGAGTATACATAAAGATGCTGATATCTCTGATATTGCCCCTATAGGCTGGAAAAACACTGCTTTATAGAGAGATGATAGATAACGAGTTCCATAAATATGTGCATTTTGATAATAAACACATTAATTCCCTTCTCCCCTTCTAAGGAGGAGTCCCTTGCATTCAAAGACAAAGGTCACGTTCCATAGCTTTAATTGAACCCTGAACTCAGCTGTTCTTTCAGTCCTCATGAACCGGTTTTTATTTCAGGCTCTTATTTGCCCATTGTGTCATCTTTATCATTTATTTCTTTATTTCCACCTCACATTTTAATATGCCTCAATTTTGTGATACTGCCAATCATGTTGATGGATGTCTCTTTCTTCTTTTTTATTTGTTAACTTTTGAACAAGAGAACTAAACCAAAATTAGAGAATCCAAGTCGAAACTGGACTGGAGCCCAGTGCTGGGCATTTCAATCCATGCAATAACTCTTCATTCTCAGCAAATTCTGTCAGTCACATCCTGTATGACCATGTACCATGCTTGGGAGATTGACTTTTTAAGCTTTCTTATCTATTTTCCTTAACTTTAAATCTAAAAATAAATGGGAGAACAGATGAGAGTGAAATTGCAGTGAAATTGTTCTCATACATAATGTAACTCTCTATTTAGGAACACAAAGACTGTGATTTCATGTTCGTTTTAAGGAATCTAAGCCAGTTTGGGGGAACACAATCTGCTTCTGGGGAAGGAGGTGCAATTTGTCCAGGTGTGAATAAAGTTTCCCCATAATAAGCAGGATGGAAGCTTTACAGTCTTCCCTGTGTGGCCCAGTTCTCTAACATACTGTGGCTCTGTCTCAGCTCCTCCGGGTTCCTCAAGGGCATCTTCTCTTAGAAGGAGCCAAACACATGGCTTGGTAGAGATGCTCATATGTAAGCCATCAGCTAGGATGACAGTTCCAGTGCTTCCATCTGAGCAGTAGTCTGTCCTCTTTTCTTTCTGAGATGTAACAGTGGATGTTATAGACCAGGTCTCATGGGCTCTCATTGCATGCCTTCTTATTCCAGTTCCTGTGAGAGGCGGGACAAGCCACTCAGGACTTTTTTGTTTTTATTTTTTTTACTTTCTTGGCAGCGAGATATTAACCACATTTCCTTGTTTTATATTCTTTAAAAATAAAAAAGTTGGGTAGGGGGACATAATTTGCTACCAAGTACTGCAATAATAAAACGTGGTGCTAATGATTACCAATAACTTGTTAGATTTGATCTGCCTGTTTTCAGAGAACTGGAGATGCCTGGCTTAGCTCTCACCCAAAGTGTGCTGTTTTGTGCTAATTTTCTCTTTGAAAGGAGTAGGGGTTAATAAGGATTAGTAAGAATTGACCTTAAAAGGGAAGTATTAACAGCCATAGATGTGAGCAGTTCACCCAGAAGGAACCATAGGGTCAGGAGGAGCCCAAGGTATATTAACATTAGCAAAATACAAATGCATTTAGAAAAGCATATATCCATTTATTGTTTCCAGGCAAACTTATTAATGTTTGTGACACCCAATCCGAAATTTGGAATGTTTTTGCTTGTCATGAGAAGTTAAGGAAGCCAGAAATACATAGAAGAAAAATTAGTTACATATATATATATATATATATATATACACACATTGTCTTCTGAACTTTTACTTGCTGGTAAAGATGTGGACCATAGGAGATGACCCCTTCAAAGTAAGAAGAGACTTAGGAGAGAAGTTCTGCAGAGGAATCCCTGCTCTAGAGCAACTGTTATATAAACCACATCCCTTCCAAGTAACAAGAAACTTAGGCAGAAGTCTAAACCATATGCAGCACAAACCATTCACAGTGCAATTCACATTGCATTCACAAGGCCCTGCCATTCACTTGACTGCTGGGCGGGGCTGCCAATGCTGAGAAAGCAGATGCAATCTTTCATCCAATAACAGAGATTTGCTGAATTTATGCCACCTGCCAATCACTTTGCAGGTGTCAGGAACACCATGATATGAATGATGTGTCCTGCCTGGTGGTCTAGCAGAAGAAGAGAGCGCATAAAAGTCTCCTGTGTCGTGGAACACATGCTTTATTAGCATTTGCTAATACAATTGAATCTCCAGGCTGGATGCAGTGGTTTATACCTGTAGTCCCAGCACTTTGGGAGGCCAAGGTGGGAGGATCACCTGAGGTCAGGAGATCAAGACCAGTCTGGCCAACATGGCAAAACCCTATCTTTACTAAAAAATTAAAAAAATTAGCTGAGTATGGTGGTGTGCACCTGTAATGCCAACTACTATGGAGGCTGAGACAGGAGAATCACTTGAATCCAGGAGGCCAGGCATGGCACTAGGGCCTGGAGATTCAGTGGAAGCGAAATGCCCCATGGTGCTCAGCCCTGATGGGGCTGTCTAGAAAAGGAGAACAGGTTCTCAGAAGTGGTGGCATTGGAGATGGCTTTGAATAATGACTGCTTGCCAGGGAGTGGAGGAAGTAAGTTTTAGGTCGAGAGATGATCATGGGCAGAGCATTGAGCTGTGAATGTGCAAGCTGTGTTTGGGATTGGTTACCATATTGGGGTAGAAGCTGGGCTGTGTAAGAGTATGGCATCAACGTAAGGCTTTATCAGGACTGTTCATATTTTGATGATAAATCTGAAGCGTAAATATTTAAGGAACCCACCCAAGTTCACAGAAGTAGTTAAAGGAAGAGCTTGAATCAGGGTAAGAAGAAGACATTGGGGAGTGAGCAGTGAGGCAGGGGCTGTCATTAGGTGTGTCCCCTCTAAGCATTTCAGCTTCTTGCATGAATCTCTCAAAGCTTCCTCCACTCCTGGGGAAAGTGAACACTTGTCCTGTGCCCTGGTAGCCTTCAAAAAGGCCACTCACCCAGGATTCTTTTAGCAAAAAAGGAATTGCTAATTATTTCCCAGATAAGAGATAAAGATTGAGCCTTCGATGTGAAACTGAGACACAGCAGTAAACGCATTTCTCAGAGGGCAACCTGATGTGAAGAAGCAGCCATGGGACTTACTGATCCCTATCAGCAGACTCAGTTGTGAAACCTCAGACCTTCGCACAGTAGCATCGCTCACAGCCCACTGTACCAAGGGCCCCACGTTTACAGTGACTTGTAACTCTTGAGCATCTGTGCATTCTAATCAATTCAAATGAAGGAGATTTAGGTGCCCTCTGAATTGAGGAATACATTTGCAATATAATTCCTCTCTCTTCATAGGTTTATGCCAATTGAAAGAATGTTCTATTTAACTTTGAAAATTTCAGTATTGACCATTGAGTGTTTATTCTGGGAGATTTTTTGTATTATAGAAGAGGGTCGAACACAACAGCATTGATGAAAGTAGATGACAACTGACAGTACACAATGGAATACTATTCACCTTTAAGAAGAAGGTAATGCTGTCATTTGTGGCAACATGGATGAACCTGGAGGACATTCTGCTAAGTGATACAAGTCAGACACAGAAAGACAAAATGCTGCAAGATCTCACTTCTATGTGGAATCTAAGAAGAAAGTTGAACTCCTAGAAGCAGAGAGTAGAATGGCGGTTACCAGGAACTGGGGTTAGGGGAGTGGATGGGGAATGGGAGATGTTGGTCAAAGGATAAAAAGTTTTAGTTAGACAGGAGGAATAGTTTGGGGATGTATTGCATTGCATGGTGACTATAGTAAATTACAATGTATTATATATTTCAAAATTGCTGAGAGAATAGATGGTCTCACTTCAAAGAAATGACAACTATATGAGAAAATGAATATTTTAATTAGCTTTATTTAATCATTCCTCAAGATATACACATATTACGTATATTATTGCCTTGTCCCCAACAAGTATATACAGGAATTATTTGTATATATCAATTTGTATATATCAAATGATACATACAAATTGATATATACAAATAATATATTTGTATCATTATTTGCATATATCAATTAAAAATTTTAAAAGATAGTCTTTTCTAGTACTCTGTATGTGTATTAGTGTATACATTTTTTTCTGAAAGAAAATAATATTTTCAAGGTGTTTGAATTCATATTAATCACCAGATGGAGAACGAAGAACAGAATTAAACAACAACAACAAAAACAAATGCAGGCAATTTTCTATTAAATCTCCTCCTGAGTTGGGTCTTAGGGGGATGTCTCAATAACATAATTCTTCACTTCCTGATCCATAGAGGGTAACAGTAAGTGACTTCATAGAGACACAATAGAAACTTACCTTTTTCTGAAAGAAGGTATCATATTACGCAATTATTTGTAGTATTTTGTAAATTTTCAAATAGCCTGCTGTAATAATAGGTGGATCGTAATCAGAAGGGTAGCAGACATACTTACATTGTCCATGGTCTTTTCTTTTCCCTTTTTTTTTTTTTTTTTTGCAGGAACACTGAGACTCCATTCCTGCTTGTCTTGTCCTACCTCCACGTGCACACGGCCCTGTTCTCCAGCAAGGAGTTTGCCAGCAAAAGTAAACACGGAGTCTACGGGGACGCTGTTGAGGAAATGGACTGGAGTGTGGGTACGTTTCTCCTCAGTGAGTGCTTAGAAAGCCACTAAGTCTTTGCCTCCTTGTGTCTTCTCTCCTGTGTATTTCCATCTGTGTTCCTGATGCCTTTAGAGACAGCAAATGTATGGGGTTTTTTGAAGGTAACAAAAAATGCATTGATCCTGAAAGATAAAGAGAATACAAAAAACACCTTTACCAGCCTGGGCAACACAGGGAGACTCCATCTCTACAAACAACAAAAAATATTAATTGGGTGTGGTGGTGCACGCCTGTGGTCCCAGCTAATTGAGGGGCTGAGGTGGGAAGATGGTTTGAGCCCAGGAGGTTGAGGCTGCACTGAGCTATGATTACACCACTGCACTCCAGCCTGGGTGACAGAATGAGACCTTGTCTCTTAAAAGGTATATATATCTTGGCCGGGCGCGGTGGCTCACGCCTGTAATCCCAGCACTTTGGGAGGCCGAGGCGGGTGGATCACGAGGTCAAGAGATTGAGACCATCCTGGTCAACATGGTGAAACCCCGTCTCTACTAAAACTACAAAAAATTAGCTGGGCATGGTGGCGTGTGCCTGTAATCCCAGCTACTCAGGAGGCTGAGGCAGGAGAATTGCCTGAACCCAGGAGGCGGAGGTTGCGGTGAGCCGAGATCGCGCCATTGCACTCCAGCCTGGGTAACATGAGTGAAACTCCGTCTCAAAAAAAAAAAAAGGTATATATATCTTTATCCTCTTGTGCATGTCTGCAGTTGCCAGTGGATACATTTCAGGGGAAGTCTAGTCTGTGGGCTGTAGATGGAAGAGATTAATGGAGGAAAAGAGACAAAACTTTAGTCCTTATTATCCCTTATTCTATCAACAACGAAATAGGAACAATGCCTTGTCACTAGCAGTTAGATGTGTGATGGATTTTGGATCCAGAACACCTGCAGCTGACTACAGCCTTATTTGCGAGGCCCACAGGGCAACAGTGACAAGGTCCTCATGTTCTTCTTGCTGCATCTGATGACTGCAAAGCTTTCCTTGTTCTCCAAACTCCTTCTCTCCCTTCCTTAGAAAATAACCTTATTTCTGAGAAATGTGGCATTTTTCACTGACATTGGGAAGACTTCCTTACTAAAGATTTCTTTAAGTTAAAAAGCATATCTTCCATATCTACATGATATCATTCATCCCTATACTTTTATTTTCTCTTGCACAGCTCAGAGATCCCAGGATAAGGGACTACACCTGGGATCTCTTAGCTGTACAAGAGCTAAGGGGTTAGCTAACATGCAACCTCATGCTGACTGACGTAGGGAAGGCCTTAGTGTGTGAGTTATGCAAAGGAATGGAAAATCAGCATTCCAGTCCACTCTGAACCTCTCACGACTTCCAGTCTTTTCTAGCAACATTGCCTCTTACATTTATTTACACTGCTGGACCCATCTGGACAGAATCAGACCGACACAAAAAATCATCTTATCCATATTCCAGCATTTCATATATTTGTTTCCTTTTACTTTTTCTCTCTCTCATTCTTCCCTCCATTTCTTTTGGTGCACTAACTCAGTAGTTTCTAACCTTTCGATCCACATATTTTGGAAATCCATGAACATTGCCATTAAGTTGTGTTTGTTCATTTGTTTAAAACAGCAGATTGATGGCAATAGTGGTCACCTACTATGGTGATTGTTAGAACAAATTTTGTTCTGTTTTGTTATAAATCATGGAAAGAGCACCTTCTTAAGAAACAAGAAGACTGGACTCTTCCAGCTTCTAGATGTTTCTTTAATTACGTCTGTGAACTTGAGAGAGGTTTTACATCTTCAGGCCTCTCCTCTATCATCTTGATAGGAGTATTCAAATTAGGCAAGTTCTGAGATTCTTTTTTCTCTAATAGTTTGTGATTCTATAAAGTAATGAGAGTGAGTACCACCTGTAATACTAACTAGGAAAAACAAAACCAGAACATTCTCTCTAACAAGATTTGTAAGAAGAATGCATTATGCTTAGGGCTCGTACATATACCAATACAAGCTTGTCTCCTTTTATTTTTTTCTTTCTAAAATGTTGCAAATAAATCAATTTGCATTTTTCACATCTAAGTAGTGTAAATCAGTAGAATATTTTATCTCTTTAATGACTGTTCTATTTTAATGTGTCAGGCTGCTTATGCAACTCTAAGACTTCTGTTAGCTAGCAAGCAACCTCACGCTGATCTCATCACACCTATTGATTAAATTTCATGTAATTATCATGGCACAGGTGCCTACTCTGACTCATTAGAAAGTATAACTTCCAGTATTGTCTCACTACTAGTTCCTTCTAGAGTATTTGGAAAGTATTTTCAATCTTCAAGATCTGCCTTAGCCCCTGATTTATAGATGATTGTATTCTTTTGTTTTGTTTTGTTTTTTGGCCAAAAGATAAAACCCTTCCCCTAAGCATTCCGTGTATTTTTAAGGAAGTTTTTGTTTTTTAAATCTGATACATATGAATGTTCTAAAGAATATTTCTTCTTTCCATGAAGGGCTTTCTCTTATTGCACAGGAGGGGACTGTTGCATTCTGAATAATTATGTAACAAAATAAAAGAGTGATATTGGCTTAAGAAGAAACACTCTCTGTACAAAGGAAAACTGAAATGGAAGTGGTTAACTAGCTAGGGTGCATCTTGGTCACTCAGGGCATGTTCTCTCCACATGTTTGAGGGCCGTGTAATTCTATGGATCATCACTTTCTCCACTGGAGGTTTCTCTAAGCCTGGAAAGGCAAATTCAATGACTAAGAACCTTTATTACGTAACTGTATACCAATTCTACTGCCCATGATTGTGGCTTACTGCCTTATTCTTAGCTGAATGAGTGCTGTGTCTCATATTGTTACAGCAACTAGAGAAAGCTATAGCTCTCACAACATCTGACTCCATACAGATGTTGTGAGAGCTATAGAAGGAGCTTCTCAGTACAACCCTATGCAAGGGTGGTTGAAATCCAGGAGCTATGATACTGCTGTGTGAATTCAAGGGGTGATCAACATGATTTTAATCATCAGAGTGACTAACATTGAGAGCTGGCCCCATACCAAGCCCTGATAGCACATGTATTTGTGGGAGCCATAGGCTTTGGCCCCGTAAAGGTTGTCAGGAAATCACTGGCATAAGGCAGATTGATTCATAGGACAAAAGGCATACTAATTTATTGCATGTATATACACAAAAGCCTTCATAATGAAGACCCAGCCTCTCAATGGAGTCCAGAAGCTTATACACCATCCTGAGGTTACAGAAAAGATGGAGGCTTAGACCAGGCATAGTGACTCACGTCTGTAATCCCGGCACTTTGGGAAGCCAAGGCAGGCAGATCACCTGAGGTCAGGAGCATGGTAAAACCCTGTCTCTACTAAAAATAAAAAAATTAGCAGGGCATGGTAGTGCATGCTGTAATCCCGCCTACCTGGGAGGCTGAGGCAGGAGAATTGCTTGAACCTGGAAGGCGGAGGTTGCAGTGAGCTGAGATTGCACCACTGCACTCCATCAAAAAAAAAAAAAAAAAGAATGGGTTCTTGGATCCTGGTAAAACAAGTTATGCAGGTCAGGGAGAAGAGGAATTCTGTTGAAGGGAAATAATTGATTGCTAGGGAGAATTATTAGATACAGGAACAGAGATTAACTTGTAATTTAAATGGTCCTTGGAAATAGCCATCATTACTTGGAAAAAAGTCTCCTCAGTGGTGGTCGTATCTTGGTCTTCTTTTCTGCAATAGACAATGAAATTACAGGGAGGGGAAGGAAAAGAGTTCTCCTTGAGGGTCTGGATCTTCGGCAGATAAAAGAACTTCACCTTCTATGGGAGAAACTGCGTGTGGGATGAGGGGGAGGTTAGAGAAACTTGAGGCTTCTTTCATTTAGCATATCAAAATACAACCTTTGGGGATATCAGTTTCTGAGTCTCAGCATACCACCTCATTTTGTGCTGCCAGTGGTCTGTGTGAAGCAGGTGAATTTCTCATCATTCCCATTCCACAGGTAAGACAAGTGAGGCTTGGAAGTTAAGTACTCCCACCTCAGGTTACAGAATTCATAATGGACAAGCATGTGTTCAAATGCAGGTGTCCCAACTAGAACCTGAAATCTACACTACTTTATTTCTCTTCTTTCTATGTCATAGGAAAGTGTGCATCATGTCAGCGTACAATCAACAACATATCTTTGGGAAAGATCTAGTTCATTCATTAGTCATGTTGACTGGATGGTAACTGTGTGTCTAAATGTTTTTTGGCAGCACAGGGTGGGAGTGGAGTGCAATGATGATAAGGCTATGGGTTTAGGGGAGAATGTTCAGCATACCGGCTACTAAGAAATTTAAGATTCTTCCAGGAGATCCTATGCTAACTCAGGGCAGAAAGTGAGGAATGTCCTGAGGGAGGTACAGATAAAGTGCTTGAGCAGTTTGGAAGCAGGAAGGGCAGGGGTGCTGTGAATGTTGGATACAGCAGCCACATCATTTCAGCAGGACACACCCACAGTAAAATTCCTTGAGCAATCACGGTGCTACTGCAAAGTCTGATTTTCAATCCCAGTTAATTCTGAAGCAACCCAAGCATCACGGAGGAACAAACATGTAAAATCTTATTGTTTTCCAGTATGCGACAAGCATTTTGGAGGTGTGTCATTCGGGATGTTTCTCTTCCTTTGGAAATAGACTGACATTTTGCATAGACCTGTTCATGGTTGGGGGTCACGTGGAAGGATGGATGTAGTTCTCACCAGGGGTTTCTTATCTACAGCTTACACCATTATCGTGATCACAGCTCATCTGTGAAGTGGAATTTGCATGCAATCAGCATTCACTCAAAGCCCCATGCTATTAATAGAACCATGTGAAGGAATCATAAATCAGCCCTTGCTCAGGATTAGACTAGCAAGTTCTGTACCATTACAAAGAAAAATGCAAGTGGAGAACAAGGAGGTGAATGCTAAAACAAATCTCTGGTTTCCAATCAAACCTTCCTGACTGGGTGTGGTGGCTCACA